AAAAAAAAAAAAATTTAAATACCAGCTTTTTTGAGAGAGACAAGGTCTCACTATATAGCCTTTGGTGGCCTGGAACTGGCTGTGTAGACCAGGCTGACTTGAACTCAAGAGATCCACCCGCCACGGTCTTCATAGTGCTGGGATTAAAAGCCTGGGCCCCCATCACCCAATTTTTTTAGAGTCAACTTGGGAAGATTTTGTTTCCATCTCAGTAATTTGTTTTAAATTAGCCTACAAAACAACAGGTTTCCTTATGCATTTTCATATATACTCCATTTTGATTCACCATCATCCTTCCCCCACTTGGAAAAAACTTATTTTCTATCTTACAAGTACACACATGAGAACTTTGCATGTATTGACTGTTTAATTAAGTATCCATAAACTGAAGATGTTTTATGAACAACTTTCAAGGAGGATTAGAGATTCCCACTAAAAGACTGTCTCTAGGCAGGCTGGAGAGATGGTGCAGAGGTTAAGAGCACTGGCTGCTCTTTCACAAGACCCGGGTTCGGTTCCCAACATGCGCACAGGGGCTAACAACCACTTGTAAGACTCCAGTACCAGGGGATCCAGTAGCTCTTCTGGCCTCTGTGGGCCACTGCACAACACAGGTGCACTTACATACATGCAGGGAAAACACTCATACACATAAAAGTTTTTAAAAAATAATCATTTTTAAAAGACCATCATTATTTTGTTCCATTGTTGGGGGAAAAAATCGATTTCTGTTTAAGAATGCATTTTGACATAAATTCTTAGGCACCAAAAAATTTTACCATATGTCAGGAAATGGCTTTGAGTCTCTAGAGCAGTTTTATTTTTCTGCCAATGTATATTTAAAGCTCAGCCAAGAACTTGACAGCTTTTGGAAAGCAAATGTAATTGCCAGGGTCCACTGCGAAATGGAAGCAGTCACTACCATGCTTTCTCTTTCCTCCAGATGGGTTACTTATGAGTATGGCAATTACAGAGGCCGACAGTTCCTACTGTCACCTGCAGAAGTGCCTGATTGGTATGAATTCAGTGGCTGTCGCCAAATAGGTTCTCTCCGACCTTTTCTTCAGGTATGTTTCTGTTTTGTCTTTTGTTTTTTTCTGCTGCGAATTCTTTTCATTGAAAACAAAATTTTTGTAAATATAGTTCAGCATTTTAGTTTTTATTGGAAACTTGAAATTAGCTCCCCCTCACATCCATATCTGGGCATCAAGTGTGTGGCATCTAGAGGCATGGCTGACTTAGAAATGCCATCAAACCTAACACCAAACATGCATGTTTCAAGCTCTGGCTACCCACAAGAGGACTCTCTCTGCTCTAGACACTGACGCGTCGTCAAGCTCTCACCATAGAGAAAAGCCTGAGCTGCTTGGGCATGGTCAGCACCCCTGAGCAGGTGCTCCTCACTGTCTGCTCTTCCAGCTGTTAATGTGCCTTCAGTGCTTCCAGCAGCACAACCTGTTTATCACGGCTTCTCGGGTTTTGTCTTCTAGAAACGAGTTTACTTCCGACTTCGAAATAAAGCAACAGGGTTATTTATGTCAACTAATGGAAACTTAGAAGATCTGAAGCTTCTTAGAATACAGGTCATGGAAGATGTTGGGGCTGATGATCAGATTTGGATCTATCAAGAAGGATGCATAAAATGCAGAGTGAGTGTTTGGGATTTCACAGGGCAGCTGACTTGCTCTTCATCGTGTTTTTGAACTGTTGCAAGTAGATGCTGTGTCACATTTCCTAGAGTACTTTCAGAAATAAGTTTGAAGGTGTTATTTTGTTTTGGGTTTTTGTTTGATTTCCCATGAAAATGTTTCCTAGCTCTAATGGAATCAATCTTAGGAACTTAAAATGGGATATGAGTCTGGCATTGATCCAGGATAGAATATTTCTGTCTGCACTTGACATAGTAATAGAATCTGCTCTTAGGAGTAAACTATAGCTCCAAGACATCAACAGAAATCACTCTAGTTTTGTTCTGTTTTGGAGAGCTCTAAAGAATAGGATGAAGGGGGCTGGAGAGATAGCTCAGCGGTTAAACACTGGTTGTCAGGTTCAAATCCCAGCACTCACATAGCAGGTAACAACTGTCCATAACTCCAGTCCCAGGGGATCCAACAGCCACTTCTGACCTCCTCGGGAATTGTACAACATGGGTGCACTTACCTACATGCAGGCAATAACACGAATACACATAAAATAAAAATAATAAGGCCGGGCGTGGTGGCACATGCCTTTAATCCCAGCACTGCAGAGACAGGCGGTTCTCTGTGAGTTCAAGGCCAGCCTGGACTCCATAGTGAGTTCCAGGACAGCTGGGGCTACAGGGAGACCCTGTCTCAAAAAGACCAAATAATAATAATAATAATTAAATTAAAACTGGTAATAATAATTAATAATAAAATTTTTTTTAAAAAAAGAATAGGATGAAGGAGATACTTCTGTTGTGTGACACACTCCATCTCCTAATGGTCACATGCTGGAAAATGGCCTGTTGCCCTCACAAACACACCTGCCATACAGACATTTCAAAGCTGAATATAGTCTGATTTTATGAGAGAAGCTCGGGTATCTTTTTTACTTCTTGACTTTATGAGCTTGACTGTTTGCTCCTGACATTTTAAACCATGGTGCTTCATGAGTCAGAAGGCACCTAGCTTTGTGAGGAGGAGCATGCTTGTTCATTAGGTCTGTGGTGTTTGAAGGAGAATCACTCCTTTGTAAACAGAAATACTGTTTAGACACACACAGAGAAGCAGCACGAGAAGCAGTATCATCTGAAATATTGAAGCATGAAAAGAAGCCAACTTCTGCCTCGGAATCATCTTGATGCAAGAAAAGTGGTACTTCGAGCAGTTATGGCTGACATGTCAGTGATGCTATTTAACAGTTCAATTCAGTAGATCAAGGCGAAAAATGAAATGTCACAAATGATAACAATGCTTTAGTGTGTGTGTGTGTGTGTGTGTGTGTGTGTGTGTGCTGGGGATTGAACCCAGGGCCTTATGCATGCTATATAAGTACTCTACCACTGAGCTACATCCCCTGCCCAGAAGAGTTCACTTTTAAAAAGCTTAAAAAAAATCTATCTATATATATATATATAAAAACATTATGTCAGTGGTGAGTCATGCTGCTATAACTTAGATACGCTTAGGAAGGACTTTCAAAATCCTTTCATTTAAGCACCTTTACTGACCTTGGATTTTTCCTCTCTTTTTATACCTGGATAGCATGCTTATTTAGAAAAGTTTAGACATTTTTCATGAAGGAAAGACAAGAAGTCAGGTCTTATGGGTGAGTGGGAAACCCTGTAGCCATTCCAGGGCTGCCACAAAGAAGTGCTATCAGGAACGTGAAGCTCAGGCCAAACAGAGGCAAGGTGCTGGGTTGTAGTGGCGAAGACTGAGCTACACACCCAGCTTCAGAACATGCTCACTTCGGAGCGGGGACAGTATCATGATGGGCAGTTTTAGTTTTGAGGCTTCTCAATAGTAATTAGAGAATTTTGCAAAGAATAGTCTTACAATGCACGAACACTGAGAATTTCCCATCATTTGTATCATTTGTTGTTTGACTCTAGTTACTCTAGCTAAGAGATGAAAGAGCCCATGTAGAATATAGAAAGCCAGGGACCAAGTTTAAAAATCAAGTTCACGAGACTGAAGTATGCATTCTCGCTAAAACAGTTTTCTTTTTTCCCACTAAACAGATAGCAGAAGACTGCTGCCTGTCGATCGTGGGCAGCCTGGTAACATCTGGCTCTAAGTTAGGCCTGGCACTTGATCAGAATGTGGACAGTCAGTTCTGGTGCATGAAGTCAGATGGCAGGATCTACAGCAAGCTGAAGCCAAACTTAGTCTTAGATATCAAAGGTAAGGATAACTCCTTTTATTATAATGTTCCCTTCTTTAGTTAAAATCTGTTCTGAAAATGATGAATGCTTTGCCAATACACCTCTGTGTATCAGGGTCTGTGTTAAACCTTCCACAATGTTAGCTCATGTGCTGTTCTGAAAGTTCTTCTTTCCCCTTTCCCTTCAAATTTGATGGCCAAAAACCTGGTTGTACATAATTTATCAGTTTGGTGATGATCTGACACCTGCAAATGCTGAGCCGCAATCTGGGCACTAGCTGATTTCCAACCTTTTTTGGGGTGTGTGGGGGGAGTTATAATAGTGTTAGGTTATGCTCTTGCTTAAGTCAGTATAGTTGATGGATCTCATGTATATAAAGGTAGCTTTTCATTGAAAAGGCCTAAGTTCTAAAAGGAATGACCACAGCCAGGAGGATTTTAATGGAAGTTAATGAAGTTATTTTTAAATTTGATTTTTTTTATGTGTGTGTGTGTGTGTGTATCACACAGAACATCCCAAACCATCTTATTCACCTACACACCCACTTCCCAGATGGCACCTCCCATATCTCCCTTCCCCTGCTGGAAGTTATTCTTTTAAAAAATATTTTACTAGTATTTTTTCTAATGTGTATGAGTGTATTTCCTGCGTGTATGTAAATGCACCCATGTTCTACAGTGCCTGCAGAGGTCAGAAGATGGCATTGGATGCCCTGGAACTGGAGTTACAGTTGTTAGCTGCCATGGGGGTGCTGGGAATCCAACCTGGGTCCTCTAGTAAGAGCAGCCAGTGCTCTTAACTGCTGAGCCATCTCTTTAGTCCCCAATGAAGTTATTTTAAAGTAGATTAATGGTACTTGGCCAGTAGTCCTCAAATTTTATTTTTAGTAGAATCACCTGGAGGTGTTGTTAAAACACTGATTACTAGGTCTCATCCTTAGAATTCCTAATCTGAGTTCCTTAGGATGAGACCTAAGGAGGCCAAAATTTTGCTTTGGAGGCTAGAGATACGGCTCAATGGGTAAAGGTGCCTGCTGCCAAGCCTGAGGACTTGAGTTTGATTCCCAGGTGGAAGGGGACAACCAACTCCCACCAGTTGACCCCTGACCTACACACATACCGGGGGGGGGGGGAAAAAAATGGTTTTTAAAAGTGAAGAATTAGCCAGCTGTGGTGCTGCACACCTTTGATCCCAGCACTCAGGAGGCAGAGATAGGTGGATCTCTGTGAATTCAAGGCCAGCCTGGTCTACATGGTGAGTCCTAGGTCAGCTGGAACTGACTACAGGGAGTCCTGTTCAATAAAAGAAGAACTGAAGAATTTGCTTTTCTAACAAGTGCTTAGGTGTCGCTGCTGCTGATGGTTTGAGAACCACACAGAACCACAGTTTTTAGCAACAGCAGTTAACAAAACCAACCTAACCCATACCTGGGTACTTGGTGAAGTGGTATTGTTGTCATTTGTAAGCAAAACTGGGTCACTGGGATAATTTTGCTTTCTATTATTTGTTTGTTCATTTGTTTTTTGGTGGTTTTGTTTTGTGAGATAGGATCTCACTTTTAGCCCAAGCTGGCCTTGATATTCTGGCAGTCCATGTGCCTCAGGCTCCTGGGTTCTGAGATTACAGTCATGCACTACCATACCTGCCTACTTTAAATGATTATGGGCACTTTTGTTTCCTATCAGGAAAGCATGACTGTGCTCTGTAACAATGAATGGTTAATCCCGTGGCCACACTAGACTACCTTCTCTGTTCTAAATCACTGCTTCAGTTTTGCTTTAATCAGGGCCCTGGGCCAAAGTCATCATTAGAAATGAGTATGTCAGGGCAAAGAAACAGCTATGGCCTGGTTCTTAAGATACTTCTGGATGATGGAAAATAAAGCATGGACATTATCATAAGGAATTTTTGATAACTGCACAGGGAACACAAGTGCCTTTTGAGTCCAGTGGTTCCCAGATAGGTAGGGTGGCCAGCCTACTTAGCAGTGAGATTAGAACACGAAGACTCTGAGAAGCTGGGTGGTGCTCAGAGGCAAGCAAACCAGGCTGAATGAAGGCAGCACCAGAAATTAAGCAATGTGACTGCAGACTGATAGCAACCGAAAAATCCATGTAAGATGCAAGAGGACCCTTGGATATGAGAAAACGAGCAGGTCTATATAGTATGTCTCCCTCATATTACACTTAGTACAATATATTTGCTTTAGGGATGGACAGATGACTCAGTGGTTAAGAACAGTGGTTGTTCTTGCAAAAGACCTGGGTTTGAATCCCAACACCCACATGGCAGCTAACAACTGTCCGTAACTCCAGTCCCAGGGGATCCGGCTGCCTCTTCTGACCTCCGCGGGCATTGCACGACATGGGTGCACTTACCTACATGCAGGCAATACATGCATACACATAAAATAAAAAATAATAAATAAAATTTAAAAAATATATTTGCTTTAATATGTGGACAGGGAAAATATTCATTTTCTGGATGACTGACCCCAAGTTTAAACTGCTGAAGAATCCTGACCCAGTTCTGCCTTTATTCTATTTTGATCAACTTTGTGGCACTAGGGCTCCTCGGGCTATGTAAGGTTGATTCAAAATTGCCAGATAAGGCTGGGGAGGTAGCTCAGTGGTAGAGTACTTGCCTAGTATGCATGACACCTGACTTTAATCCCTAGTACCACCCACCTGCCCTCCCCAAAAATACCCAGAAAAATGTGACTAAATTTAAAAAATGGTATGTGTGCTGGAGAGGTGGCTCAGCGGTTAAGAGCCCTGACTACTCTTGCAGAGGACCCAGGTTTGATACCTAGTAGGCATATAGCAGCTAACAGCCATCCATAATTCCACTTCCAGGCTATTTGACACTCTCATCTGACCTCTGTGGGCTCACGAAATGGGTGTACCTATCTACACGCAGGCAGTACACATAAAAAAATAAAATAATATTTTTGAGAAAAAGAAAAATGAAATGTTTCTTTCAAAGGCAGCTAAGCAAACCTTTGTGTTTCTTACAGATGTGAGTAGCTTCCTATCCAGGACTGAAGTCACTGCAGTTCTTAGAGCAGTTATCTTCCAGCAGTCTTCACTGGATGCTCACTGTGTGGCAGGCAGGCTCTGTCCTAGACACTGGGGTACCAATGTGAAGAGAAATACAGCCTTGGCTCCACCCATGGGACTCTAGGAAGCTCCTCCTTAGGGTTTCACTTTAGAGCCCAAAGCCCCACCCTGAAGTTTCCTAGCCATCAGTCCTGTGTTTATGAATTCTGTGTCTAGTGCAGCAGTTGATGTAACTGTGTCCTTGTTCCCCTGAATTTTAAACTTCTCAGAATGTGGGAGAACAGTGCCACCTTCTGGACATGAGAGAACAGGGCTGCACAGCCAGAGCCAGCACAAGGGAAATGCAAACACAACTGGTGTATGCAGCAACCAGAACCGTTTGTTGTGTATTAAAACTCCCAGGTCTACTAGGTCAAGTCTTCTGCCCTTGTATTTAGGAAATGAGCTGTTGTATTAGATACTGAAGTGTGAGTCAAGACTGGTATCTTAAAACAAGCGTAGAAGCTGACGCATGCTCACTTTAAAACACTGAAAGCCTGCAGGACTGTATGATAAGCAGATAAATCAAACAACTATGTAAGACAGAAAAACTAAAAATGAGCTAAAAAAGGATAATTCCAAGGCAGAATCTTTTTCTTTGAAACAGGAGCTCCCTATATAGCCAGGCTACCCTTACTGGTCTTTCTGCCTTGGCTGAGTGCTGAGATTACAGGCGTATACCAGGCAGTGTCTTTCTACTATAAGCTGCATTTAAGAGAGTATTAGTGATTCATTTTAAATAGGATGTAAAAGTTCTTCTAAATTACTCCTCACTCCTGAGTGCCAAGAACTCCAGTATACCTGTGTGCAGCACTCCTTCCTTCTCAGATGTATGGGCAGGTGTGTGTGTGATCTCAGAGTATGTAGGTGCCACGGACACACAGGACCACTTGTAATGGTGGATTTGTTTGATTCACTTGCACATCTGTGACCAGGCTTTAAGAGAAGGCCAGCTTAAAAGAAAGAAGTAGCATCTTCCTACTTGTCTCCAAACACGTGTCAAAAAGAAGGGTGCCTGTGCTTTGGCTTTATGGTCTTTTGACTATCCATGCACTCCACACTATTTTCTGTATTGGACAGTAAAATAAAAATACATTTGTTTTCTTTTTTATTTTATGTGTATGCGTGTATTGCCTGCATGTAGGTAAGTGCACCCGTGTCGTGCAATGCCTGCGGAGGTCAGAAGAAGCTGTCAGATGCCCCGGGATAGGTGTTATGGACAGTAGTTAGCTGCCTTGTGGTTGCTGGGATTTGAACCTGGGTCTTCTGCAAGAACAACCAGTGTTCTTAACCGCTGAGCCATCTCTCCAGCCCCTAAGAAAAAGGTCTAGGATAATTTAAGTGCTTCCCAGATAATGTGAATTAATGAAATTATTTCTCAAGAATTTTGTAGGTTTTATGATTCTGGTTGGAACTGAGGTAATGAATGCAGTACATTAAGGCACTATAGTCTTGAAGAATGAAAAAAAAAGAGAGAGACACTGTATCCTTAACATTTTCGGAACTCTTGGTGAGGTCTGTTGTCTTGATGGAGTGTGTAGGTCTTGCTGTTGGTCAAAGGAAAGGGTTGAAACTGGCTGCAAGGGTCCCTAAAACCGTAAGCCACCTCACCCTGTGCCCTAGACCACATCTAGCTGTAGAGAAGCCCTAGGTTATTGGTGACAAATAAGCCAGCTTCTTACAAAAATGTAAAAGATGATTTCCTTCCCCAAATACCTAGATCTACTATATAATTTTCAGACCTTTTTGGTATTTTTTTGGTCTTTTTGAGGCAGGGTCTCCCTGTAGCCCCAACTGGCCTGGAACTCTCTATGTAGACCAAGCACCAGGATGGCCTTGAACTCACAGACATCCACCTGCCTCTGCCTCCCAAGTGCTGAGATTAAAGGCATGCACCAACATGCCCACCCTTTTTGATGTTTTAAACATTTTAAAGTAGATGAATGTTGTTTCTTCCTGGTCTAAGGATGAAATATGGTTTCAGTGCCAGCCCTGGCATGCATCCAGATGATAGATTTTTATTTCCACCAGGTCCTTAGTGAAGCAGTCTTGGTGGAGAAGCTTCTACTGAAAGGATAAGTCCCTAACAGCAGGAGTCTTCCCTGGCTCTGTGCCTGCTTCCAGATGCCATTCAGCTCTCCCCCCTTGAACCCAGTCACAGCCCTATTTCATTACTCATGCAAAGTCTTTTGCCCCTGGGGCCTCCCTCTCAGCCTTTCCACCACTGCCAGGCCGGCCTACCTGAGCCTCGCTCAGGTCTCACATCCACCATCTCCCCAGTTCCATCGCGCAGTATCTGCTCTTTTTCCTTTCTTTAGACTTTTCCTTGATGCCCCAATTTCAGATTCAGATGTGGTAAAAGTAACTAGACTATAAGGTGAGCTATCCTCTGTGGAGCTGCTGGTGCACCATGGTGGATTTTAGCAGCATCACCCACAGCAAGCTGTCATCCTCATCCCACAGACATCCAGGGTCCCTCCCTGCTGTTTCTGTACAACACTTTTATGACTCTTACTTTTGCTTTACAGGTGTTGGAATAAACTGCTGTTGCCCCTTCTCCCTAAGCACATTTCTTACTTTTCTTTCTTTCAGGAGGTGCACAGTATGATCAAAATCACATCATCCTCAACACAGTCAATACAGAAAAGTTAACCCAAGTTTGGGAAGCCATGGTCCTATGAACCTGAACAAAGAATGTAGGAGGAATATTTCTGGGATCGTTTCCAGCTACCTTATAGAAGAAACACAAAACGACAGTGATGATGGAGGAGCCAAGTGGAAAGTAAACCAACTGCCATGACAGGGAAAATTATCTTTTCAAAAGACTGTTAGAGTTTGAAACCAATAGTCTGTTGTCCTCTTGTTTCTTGATTTATATTTTCTCTCAGTAGCTAAACTGGTTGCCTCAGTAGCGGTTTTGGGGTGGTTTTCTAAAGATGCTATATCAGGACTATACTTTAAATTCTTTTCAAAGACAGTAACAAGAGGGAACAAGACCAAGTGGACTTTAAGGGAAAGATAAAAGCCCAAGTTTGTTAGAAGACTTTAGCGTTTGAGAAGAATGCTTTAATAAGGCTAGCACTTTTGATCCATGGCCTTAACATTTTCTGGGACCATTAACTATGCTGGTTGGCAGAATGGGAAAGCCTTATATTCAGAAATATTACAAGGAACTTAGTAAGTATAAGCAAAATACAACTTTCAATTAATATTAAAATGAGTAAATTTGCAAAATTTCATGTTGATGTCTGCTAACATTGGCAGAACTTGTATTTTAACTCACCGGCTGGCTGCCCTAGCATATCACAAATGAGAGTTAAATGCCTTTCTTATAGCTGCTACTGGAACAGTATTATCAGGGCCTAACTTATTAGATTTTCCTTAGCCATCTACATCTAGTACTCAAGCCATGTTCTACAATTTTGGTTAAACAGACCTTTTAGCCTGATTTCCAGGGGCTACTGTGATAGGACTGCTTCAGATCTGAAGGTACTGGGAGCTTCCAGTCACACCCTTTTGGTAGCACAGAGGTGTGCAAAGCTCCAGAAGAGTATTAGTAGTCACCTTAAGTCAGTGAAAAAGAAGCGATCCTAAGGGCTGTCTGATGGTCAAATGTTAGTGCTCAGAGAAACCTAAAACTTAGCAAGCAATTCAGAAGTGCAAATTGAAGCTGGAAAGCGCCAGCGGTCCACTAGTCCACACCTTGCTGCTCAGACAGCACATTCTACTTCTGAGCAGCACTGCTACACATTTCCTAGAATGTATTCTTCCTCATTTTGTCCTCATCACTCAATACTGGTGCTGTCACAGGTACAACAAATCTTCCCTTTTATTTGTCAGGCGTGTTTCTCTCTGGAGCCAATGACGGGCAATTATGGTCATCAGAGTAGTAGTTTGTCTGCAGTTTAAAAAATAGTGTTTGCACACACAACAGCATCCAACATGTCTGTCTTGTTCTTATATGTATAGCTCTGAGTTTAGGCCTTTTGTGTATATCATTACAGTATGGCGGGGTAAGATAGTCTATAGAAGCCGATGTTGAGTTTATCTCTTGAATAAATGTATTTCTGGTTACCTATATGATGAAATCTTGAGTTCCATGCAGCAGCCCTTCTCTAACTGCAAAGAGTCAGTCCCAAGATTAGAAATGAATGTCCGGCAGATTAGGACAACAGGTTTGAAGGGTACTAGTTAATAGCAAGGAACTTTTATAGCCATTCTGTGTTTGGGGGAAGGCAAGTAGATTCTGGCTCACCTACCCTCTCAAGGATTTAACCACTCACTACTACCTGGAAGCCCACAGGGACAAGAACTAACATGCTCTGGATAGACAGGAGTCAAGAGTAGCTGATACTTACAATGGGATAAACAGGCGTTTTCCTTTTGAAATAAATTTATAGTAATATAACTCTAGGGAAAATTCTAGAGCAACTTTAGAGGAAACCCCATATCCAACTTGCTACCAAATGAGCATCTAGTTGGAATAAATGGAGTAGAAAGTTTCTCCAAATAGGTCTATGTAGAGCAAAAACAAGAACATGTGTGTAAGGAGCAATAATGGAGCTGACGGTAAAACAGCTATAAACAAAAACAGTCATAAGCATCCTGAATGAACAGAGACGAGATTCAAGAGTGGCAAGTTTATGGGTGAAAAAGCTAAACGCAGGCATGTGAGGTCAGAAAATAGCAAACAGTAGACTCCCTTGGGGTGGGAGCAATGTCCATCGAAAAGCCCCCAGAGAAGCATGTCTCAGCCGAAAGAGGCCCAGCCTATACACAAAATGTGAGAGTTTTAAAAAATGAAAAACTGTGGCTGGAAGTAGTGGCATACACTTTAATCCCAGCACTTCAGCGTAAGTTCAAGGCTAGCTTAGGCTACATGAGACCCTGTCTCAAAAACAAATAGAATAGAAGCATGCCTTTAATCCCAGCACTTGGGAGGCAGAGGCAGGCAGATCTCTGTGAGTTTAAGGCCAGCTTGGTCTACATAGTGCAATATTCTGGGGCTACAGGGAGACCCTGTCTCAAAAAAAGAAAAAAAAAAAAAGAATAGAAACTTTAGCTTCACCTTGCAGTATTAAGAGATCAAATGAATAAATCACAGGCAAATGTTTATTATTTATTATTCTAAATAATTCAGAATTTTGAAGGCTATTGTGAAGATAAATGAGTAGGTGAATCAAAGGTAAGGAAACCCCGGTCAGTATATCAGTCAGCTTTCTATTACTGTAACAAAACAGCTGAGATAATTTTAAGAAAGAAGGGTTTATTTTGGCTCACAGTTTTGAAGGTTTTTTTAGTTCACAGTTCAACTGCTCCTAGGACTACAATGAGGCAACACATTATGGTGGGAGTGAGAACTAGAGGAAGATGTTCCCTCATTATGGCCAGGAAGCACAGAGACATAAGAAAGGGCCAGGGTCTCAGTATTTCCTGTAAAGGTATACCCCAGATGACCTAACTTCCCACCTCTTAAAGGTTTTACCATCTTCTAATAACACCTCAGACTGGATATTAAGCCTTTTGGGGCATACTCCTGATCTAAGCTATACCAAACTAGCCTCCAAAGGCTCATGTCCATTTATGCAAACCGCATTCAGTCCGTGTCCAAAGTCCCTAAAGCCTTAACAGTTTCAACACTGCTTACAGTCCAAAGTCTCGCCTAAGACTGAAGGCAAACTGTTAGCTTTAGACCCCTGCAAAATCAAAAGGACAAACTAAATGCTTCCAAGATACAAATGGTACAAGTTAATCATTCCATTTCAAAAGGAAGGAACAGAGCCACAAAAATGCTGGACCAAAGCAAGAGTGAAACTCAACAGGGCAAACATCCTACAGTTTCATGTCTGACACCTGGACCACACTGGGATGATGTGAGATCCAGAGTAACTGGGCATCCCTGCCACATGGTCTTGGTTGTGGGCCACATGGCTGACCTGCCATCCTAGGCTGGTACTGCTTGCTCCTACAGCTTCCCTCTGCTGCCTCCATGTTCTTGGCCTCACTAACTTCCTAGGGTCTCCCTTGAAATTTTTTCTTTCTTCAGATCCACACATACTATCAGGCTGCTTGCACGGACGTTGACTCTACCACATACTACTCGATCTCCTAGGCTTTTCTTTCAATTTCTGGAGAAAGTAATTATAACCCCATAATCCTTGCATTCTAAGTGGAAAACCAACATCACATGGGTAACGACAAGGTCTACCACTAGTGCGAGCATACCTAGTTTCCTTTCTGTGGAAAAAGACATTAGACAATCAGCTTATAAGGAGGAAAGGTTTATTTTGGTTCAGTTTGGGAATTCAGCCCATTGTTGGTGACTCTGGTGCTTATGGGCCTATGATGAGGCAGCACATCATGGTGTAGTGAGTGCTGGAGGAAGATGCTCACTCATAGTAATCAGGACACAGAGGCAGGAAAGAACTGAGTCCTGATGTCTCTGCTAAGGACACCTCCCTGCTCTGATCTAACTTTCTCCCACTAGGTCCTACCTCTTAAAGGCTCCACCCCATCCCAATATTGCTAAATATGCATGCTATACACACAGGCCATTGGGAGATATTTAAGACCCGACTATAGCAGCCACTTGGGATAATGGTTATGGATGTATTTAAGAAGAAGCTAACTTTAATAAGTTCTTTGTGCTAGCATCTATACAAGTTGTAGCTGCTGACAAACAGTAGGGAAAGATGACAGTCTTCGAGGTACTAGAAGACTTCAGCAATCTGCAAAGCTGGGTGAAAGCAGCTTAAAGAGTATAAGCCAGACATGGTGGTGCACAGCTGTAGTTCCAGCACTTGAGGGGCAGAGGCAGATCTCTGAGATCAAGGCCAGCCTGGTCTACATAGGGAATGCCAAACCAGCTGGAACTACAGAGAGACCTTGTCTCAAATAGACCAGGATGGAAGGGAGGGAGGGAGGGAGGCAGGCAGGCTGGCTAGCTGGCTGGAATTCGGCTCCCCGGCATGAACCTTCCCACCGAGGCACCCATGAGGCCAGCCTGGCACGGTGTTCCCCAACCGCGGTCTCCCACTGCAGGCAGTGGCGTGGGTATCTGAGGAAGATGAGGCTGTCATTTACTGTTGGGACCATCTCATACTTCTGTGCCCTGGACCCTTATCTAACTCAGAAGTCTTGACTGGGACTTTGGAACATGGATGCCTGCACATAATGGAAATCACCTGCAGAGCTCACCTTTGGGGTCCATGTTCGCTAAAGCCAAGAACCTTTGATGACCCGGCCATCGCACTTTGTAGAACCTGCATTAATGCCATTTGCAGTATAGGGTTTTTGCTGGTTCAAAACTACAGACCTGGTACACGCGAAGAGATGGACGTCTTAGCAACTATAGGACAAGTCTGAAAAATGAAAACCACACCACGTTTGGGGTGAAGATTACCTCCAATGACAAATGCTGTCCTCCCCTCCACAGTCTTATTGCCAAGGAGCCTCAGGTAGCCTGTGTTTATCTCACTGAAGATGTATTTAATCACAGATAACTAAAATATGTGTCAGAAAAAATATCTTTAAACATATGTGCCTTTATTTAATTATTCACTTACTATTTTACTGTGGGGGAGGCACACGTACAGAGGTCAGAAGACAATTTTGTGGAGTTGGTTCCCTCCTTTTACCTTTATGTGGGTTCCAAGGACAGAACTCAAGTTGCCAGGCCTGGCACCTCTACCCACTGAGCCATCTTAAGCAGCCGCCCATATAATGCAACTTACTGATCCACACAACTGATTTGGAAAAATGTTTGGCGAGGGCTAGATGTTTTGATCACAGGCACTTAGCAAAAAGAGAGCCAGCAGACACTAAACATCGCAGTATTTAAATGACATTAACGACAGTTTTTCCTCGTGCGTGTCCTCTTTCTACCTTCAGGAAGGCTTCTGGAACTTCAGAAAAAGGAAAGGTTTGTTCAATAACAGGCCGAATCTGTAAAACACAAGAAAACACTGACTAATAAAAGTTCTAAGCTGGGCATGGTGGCGCACGCCTTTAATCCCAGCACTTGGGAGGCAGAGGCAGGTGGATCTCTGTGAGTTCAAGGCTAGCCTGGTCTACATAGTGAGTTCCAGGCCAACTGGGGCTACAGGAAGACCCTGTCTCAAAGTTACCAAAATAATACAACAATAATATTTTTTTAAAAAAGAAAAGTCCTGCCCATTTCATCTCGTCTCTCCACCTTCACCCTCACCCTCACCTCATCTTATTTCTGCCTATGCTGTTGAAACTGCCACTCAGAGCTCTGCAGGAGCCCCTAAGCCTGACATCCAAACACTTTATTATTATTTTATTGTATGAGTTGTGAACACATGCGTGCCACATAGGCCACGTGGAAATCAGAGGACAATTTTGGGGACCTGGCTGTTCCCTTCCACTGGGGGTTCTGGGGATTGAACTCAGGTCATCAGGCTTGCTCCATAAGCCAAGCCATCTCGATGGCTCTATTTGTCATTTTCTAACAGAGTCTGGCATGCCTCTGTTAGCCCAGAAATGCCTCTCATCTCCCATCCTGCCACCTCCCAGCCCTTGTGTCACTCATCTCCCCTCACCTGCAATGTGTTCTCCCTTTGAACTGCTAGAGGAACTTGAGCCCTCCTCTGAGCCTGAACTTATAACTTGAATGCATGTCTGTCACCCTGCTCTATATGAGAAATAGCAAAGGGCTCCCCAAGGTCTTTCTGCATATATCTCAGTGAGCCTTTACAGGTAGTACACAAAAGAAGTACATATGTTTAGAGAGGGTGGGTTCAGACCTGAATCAGTTTAGCGGCTCTGCTCTCAACAGACCGCCAGGAAGTGCCGAGTTCTGCCCTCCCTCAGGCCTCCCTCTAACAGAGGACCAGAGAATGCAGAGGACTGCCTGAGAGCCCCCAGATCCTGCCTCCACATGGTGGTAAGCTTCCCCTAATTGTGCCATACCCATCCCCCTACATGGGATTTCCTGAGGCCCCTCTCAAGGCCCCAGGGAAGATCTAGCTTTGATAGGCTAAGGCTGAGATCCTAGCAGACAGCCTGGGAGGGTGGGTTTCAACCTTCATTGATGTAGCAGCACAGATCTCAGCAGAGAGCCAGAGTGCCAAGTTCTGGCCTCCCTTTGGCATAGGGGTTGAGAACACGGGGGACTGCCTGAGAATGCCCAGATCCTGCCTCCACGTGCTGAAGGAAGCCTGAGTGTACCTGATTGGAACCTGAATTGGGCTTCTGTGGGTACTCCTGAATAGCCAATCTGAAGCCATCAGTTCCCTCCAAATTAAACCTGAGAGAACCTGAAACCTGTACCAACCAGTTTTATATAACCAATAAAGAAAGGATCTAGGCACCCTGATAATACAAACATAAGCATACTTCAACTTAATTCTCATATCAGACTCACAAACAACAGAAATTCACATGCCAAAATCATAACGAAAGAATAAGATGGAAAGCCAAAACACTATGTCCCCAGGAAAGCCCACCAATCCTGTAGAAGAGTTCTACAAGGAGAACCCTCTAGAGATAACCCAGGACACTGAGTTTAAAAGAACAGTCATAAACATGATCAAGGAATTCAATGAATTTAAAGAACACATGAACAAAGAAAGAACTAAAAGAAGATAGGGATAAACTTTTGAATGAATTCACAATGGAGATAGAAACATTGAAGAAACTCAGGCAGAAATGAAGAAGGAAGAGCAAAACTCAATAAGACAACTTGAAATAACAGGGGAAAGCCTCACTGCTAGGATTAATGACATGGAAAACAGAATATCAAAATTGGAGGATAAAGTTGAAGAATTGGACCACTCAAGCAAAGAGTATGGAAAATTTTAAAAAACACAGGAATGGAATATGCAAGAGATGTGGGACAGCATGAAAAGATAAAATCTACAGATCATAGGAATAGAGGAAGGAGAATTTTAGCTTAATGGTGTTGACCAGATCTTAAACAGGATTGTAGAAGAGAAAGAAGAAAAAGTCCCAAATCTAGGGAAATAGATATCTATCAAGGTACAAGATACAAGGTATCTATACAAAACACCAAGTGTTGAAACTTCCCACATCATATAACAGTCAAAACACTATACAGAACAAAGAAAGGATATTGAAAACTGTGAGTGTCAAAGATCTAATCACATATAAAGGCAAGCCCATCAGAATTACAGCTGACTTATCAATGCAAACTATGAAAGCCAGAAGAGCCTGGACCAAGGTATTTCCAGTTCTACATGACAATAGATGACAGCCCAGAATACTATACTCAGCAAAAATATCTATTATAGTTGAGGGGGAAAGAAAAATCTTCCATGACATGAATAGCCTGAAAGAATACATGTGCACAAAACCAGCCCTTCAAAGAATACTTGAAGCAATACAGAGAGCAGAGAAACTATTCCCAAGAAACAACTATACCCTTTCTCTATACGAAAGAAAATAAATAAAAGTATAATCCAGGAAACAAAATTAGAGAACACAAACAGCAATCAAAATGACGGCAACCAATACACATCTTTCAATAATAACCTTAAACATCAATGGACTGAACTTCCCAGTCAAAAGACACAGGCTAAGTGAATGGATTAAGAAACAAAATCCATCTCTTTGCTGTCTACAAGAAAGCCATCTCGCCTTCAAAGACAGGCACTGCCTTAAGGTAAAAGGATGGAAAAGAATATTCCAAGCAAATGGCATTAAGAAACCAACAGGGGTGGCAATTCTAATATCTGACAAAATAGACTTCAAAGTAAACCTAATCAGAAGAGATAAAGAGGGTCACTTCATTCTGATCAAAGGAACAGTTAACCAAGAGGATATTACAATCCATAACATATATGCACCAAACACTGGTGTACCCAAATTCATAAAAACAGCACTACAGGACTTTAAGACACAGATTAACCCCAACTCAGTAATAGTAGGAGACTTCAATACCCCACTGTCTCCATTGGACAGGTCAACTGGACAAAGAATAAACAGAGAGACATCTGAATTAAGTGCTACCATACATCAAATGGACCTAACAGACATCTTTTGAATATTACACCAAAGCACCAAAAAATACACTTTCTACTCAGCACCCCATGGAATTTTTTCAAAAATTGACCACATACTGGGCCACAAAACAAACTTCAACAAATACAAAAAAATTGAAATAATTCCAAGCATTTTATCGGACCACAATGCAATAAAGCTCAAAATCAACACTGGACAAAGTCACTACAAGAACTTGCAATTGAACGACACACTCCTAAACAAAGAGTGGTCAAAGGAGAAATTAAGAAAGAAATAAAAGAATTCCTGGAATTCAACAAAAAGGACAATACCACACAACAAAACCTCCGGTACACTTTAAAAGAAGTCCTAAGAGGGAAGTTTATAGCTCTAAGTGCCTACAT